ACAACAACAACAACTACAACTATGAGTTCTTTGAGAACAGGTTCCCTCTTAATTCGTCTTGGTCCCCAACATGTAGCAGTACCTATCAGAATATGAAGGTAAAATTCTACTATTACAATTGTGCCCCTTATTCTGTTTTCCAGGTTCTAAGGGTGTGATTCTCCACCAAGGAAGCTCATGTATTTGATGGGAATATGTAGGAATATTATCAAACACTGAAACTGTCTTCATGTTTACAGAATGAAGAGGAACAGTTTATCGATTGTGAATAAAATTGCTCCATCTTCTCCAGCAGTGAAACAGCCCAAACCTAGATTCTACTCTTCTCTCAACAAGACTCACACACACATGGTTCTTCTAGACTGGGGGAGTTTGCCTCATCATGTAGTGCTATGCATTTTTCAGTATCTTCCTTTAATAGATCGGGCACGGGCATCTTCTGTATGTAGAAGGTGGAATGAAGTTTTTCATATTCCTGACCTCTGGAGAAAGTTTGAATTTGAATTGAACCAGTCAGCTACTTCATATTTAAAATCCACTCATCCTGACCTCATTCAGCAGATCATTAAAAGACACGCTGCTCATCTACAGTACGTCAGCTTTAAGGTAAAAAACATAAGGATTTGATAGAAACACTGACTTAGTTTTGCTAGCAACAGTTTTGTATAACCATGTTTTCATTTCAACACAGTCAATTAAATTTGCCTAATTTTAATTCCCAGCTATTTCTTGTTTTTCTGTAGTTATGTGCATGTATTTGGACTGTCATTGAAGAACTCAGACTTTAGTTTCTTTCATCTTCACATGAGTTGCCTTAGGGGTCTCTAGAGGAACAGAATCAGTTGGGTCTTAAGAAATGGGTCACACAGTTGTGGAGGCACAGGGCTGTCTAGAATCTGTATGTCAGGAGACAGGCTTAAGATTCTTATGTCTCAAGATAATGCAAGTGAAGGGACTGGAAAGGTGGAAGAGTTTTGGCAGGATGCCAGTTTATATTTTGGAGGCCGAAGACACTCTAGGGAAAATGCCATTTTTTAAAATTAATTTTATTATCTTTTTTACAATTTTATTGTGAATTGGGTGATAGTTTACATGGGAGAACATCAGCTTTGCATTCATCCTATCATATTATCATATTTCATTTCATTGCAGTGATTGCAATCCCCTCCATGTATCATCATTCAATGGCATTTGCTCACATTCTTTGTGTTTTGTTTTGTTTTGCTTTTGAATGTACACTGAAGCACTCAGAAATATACAATCATTCAAACAGCCAAAGGGCACACCCCACAATCCTGTCCCCCCTCCTCCAGGTCGTCAGCACTCAGCCCTTCTCCCTCCTGGGAAAATATAATTTTACAGTAAGGCCTTCAATTGAATGGTTGCGGTTCAACCCCATTGTGGAGAATAATCTTCATTACTTAAGGCTAACTGATTTAATCATATGCAGCTACTTCTAGACCAGTGTTTGACCAAACAACTGGGCACCATAGCCTAGCCAAGTTAACACAGAAAGGTAACCATCACTAGTTATTGCAATCCAGTTGCTACTAAGGTAATTATTTGAAAGTGTGAAGTGCTTAGAAACTTGTAGCTATCTCTATTTCTGACTATATAGTCAGAGGTAGTTTGTATCAATTAAAAATCCAAGTTGATTATATATCCTGAATGATTATATAAAATTTTACAATTGAATTTTGCTACCTTGCTAGGAACTTTCTGATAAAATATATTTAGGAAGTTAGTTAAGATTTGAAATTGTTTTTACAGGTTGATAGTAGTACTGAGTCAGCAGAAGCTGCCTGTGATATACTTTCTCAGCTGATAAATTGCTCTATCCGGACTTTGGGCCTGATTTCAATGGCCAAGCCAAGTTTTATGAATATGTCAAAGGTAAGGTTACTAGGCTTTTTGTGTGTGATATATTAAAACTCTTAAATATTACCACATTAGGCAAGAAAATTGTTTTGTTAAATATGGACCATATTCTATTTAAGGAGTTCTGGTAGCGTAATGGTTACAAGTCGGGTTGCTAACCTCAAGGTTAGCAGTTCGAAAGTACAAGCTGTTCCTCAGAAGAAAGTTAAGGATTCTGCTCCTGTAAAGATTTACAGCCTCAAAAACCATATTTAGGGTCACTATGATTTGGAACCAACTTCATGGCACACTACCACAGTCTATTTGTATTCAAAGCATTTGTTAAAGCAGTTTTGTGTTGACTAGTACTTTTTTATCTTCCACACTTGTGAAGTGCCATTGAGTTGGTTCCGACCCCTAGCGACCTTGTATAGGGTTCCCGAGGAGTCGCTGGTGAGCATAAACCGCTGTCCTTGCAGTTCAAATGGCTTTGCAGTCTGGTGCAGGACTCCATTTTCCACAGGAGATGCCATTAATATAAAATTCAGATATATATTTAAAGATTTTCAAGTGCCAGTTTACCAATTACTTTGAATATAGAAAATGTAGGGACAACAGTAGATTTTTTTCTGTAATGTTGTAGCCTCTCTACTACAGTTGAGGAACAGATAATTTAATGAAATGGGTTATACTATTAAGGATGATGTTTGGGTCCATACAGAAGAAATTCCATGATAGCAGTTGCTTTGTAGACATCATTAAACTGTATTTCTCTTACACTAAAAAAATCTATAGGTAAGACAGTCCATAGCTGGCATGAAGTCTAACACCCAGGCTCCCTCCAGCCAGTATGGTGTCTCCAAGATGTTTGCGTTTTCATTGTCCAAGATGGCTTTCTGTGCTCCAGCCATCATGTCCTTATTCTGGGTTGGATGGAGGAAATGGGGAAGAAGGGATTACCCTGTCTGGTATGGTGCTGTAGGATAAGCACTAGACTGCAAGATTGTTTGAACTGCAAGGTCTGCAGTCAAGTTCACCAGCCACTCCTGGGAAACCCTATGCAGGGTTGCTGTGAATCAGAACCAACTGGATGGCACTTAAGAACAACAACACATGAGGACCATGTCATGCTTCTATTTCTATCTCATTGACCAAAGCTTAGTTCCATGGCCAAAGCAGATTTTGGGGAAGCTGGGGATGTCTTTAACTGAATGTCCATGTGCCATCTAAAGATGGAGACCAGATTACTGAAGAAGAATGGATGAATGGCTGTTAGGTGGCAACCACTCCTGACGTAGAAATTTAGCGGATGCTTTCTCTTCATTCAGATTTCAGTTTGAATGTCATTTTCCTAAAGAGACCTTTGTTGACCAGATTTTGCTAAAACAACATCCCCTACCACAGTTAATTTGTATCGCATTGCCATATGTTTGTTTTCTTTTTATTATATTTACTCTCTTCTCCCTAGACCAAAACATAATTTTTGAACCAGGAGTTTTGTTCATTTTGTATCCCATTATACACCCAGAATCAGATACATAAAAATCACTAACTGTGATTGGAGTCCTGGTGTGGCATTATAGGGTAAGCACTATACTGCTAATTATAAGGTTAGCAGCTCAAACCCATCAGCTGCTCTTCAGCGACCCTATGCAGGGTCAATATGTGTGGAAACTGAATTGACAGCACTTAACAACAGCAACAACAAATACAATGTTGATAAAACTGGCCAATGGAAACTTTCTTAAGGACAAGGTAATGAAATAGTAACATCTCCTCTCACCGTCTGGATCATGGCTCTCTCAGCAAGCATTTTTGCTAGCTGTTTATCTTTTTAGGAGATATGCTGAAGAAATATAGGTCACTCGGGATTAGAGTATTAGAAGTAATCAGATGAATGCTTACTACTTCTAAATAGTTATTTCCTTGTTTATCAAATTGGCCTGAAATTCTTAGATCTCAGGAGCTGACTCCAATGTTGCACATGAGTTTCCAGTTGCCAGCCTCTAGGGTAGCTATGCCATCACCAGAGCAAAACACCAGGAACTTTGTTGTTAAGTTCTGTTGAGGCATTTCTGACTCAGACCTGTATAGGGTTTCCGAATAGCAGCTACTGGGTTTGAACTGGCTACCTTGTGTTTAGCAGTCCAGTGCTTTATCTTATAGCACCACACCAGGAACTATCAGCCTTTGTTTTAAGCTCTGCCTCCACAGTAAAATTAGCTCTGTGGCTTCTGGCAAGGTTGTGGCTCTTTCTGAGCCTCCCTGTTTTCATTAATCACTGAGGAATAAGAGAAAAAGTCCAGCATTTTGCCAAGCATGAAGTGTCTCATACATTGTTTTTATAATGAAATGTATACTCTCTCGTACTGATCTGTGTCTTTCAGAACTAATAGTTGATTGAGAGTGGCTTAATAGGAAAATAAACTTTGTATTTCAGAAAGAAAAAGAGTGATGCACTAATATTTGCCACCATAAAACTTAATAAAGATATGTAGCACTCTGTGACTTGAAATTTATTTTTTATTATTAATATATGCTATGTGCTATGGAATCTATTGCAACTCATAATGACCCTGTACAGGATTTCCAAGGCTGTAAATCTTTGTTGTTGTTGTTGTTGTTGTTCAGTGCCATCGAGTCGGTTCTGACCCATAGCGACCCTACTATGCTTTATAGTAGTATGTATATGTTGTTGTTATGTGCTGTGGAGTCGGTTCCGACTCATAGCGACCCTGTACAGGGTTTCCGAGCCTGTAGATCTTTACGGGAGCAGAGAGCCTCATCTTTCTCCCGCGGAGCAGCTGGTAGTTTTGAACTGCTGACCTTATGGTTCAAGTCCGATTCGTAACCACTACGCTACCAGAGCTCCTTAGTATGTATCTAGTAGTACGCATTTTCTTATAGTCATCCTAAAAGGGATGATTGTCATTTCTGGTAGAATACAAATTGATTTTGAATAAGGAAAGGGGACCATAAGTAGATTTGGTTTCTAGATTTTTCCATCTTTGCCAGTAATACAAGACCTGAAAATTTGTAAATTTCTACCATTTTGAGGCCAAATTATAAATATGCTTTAGTTGTCAATTTTTCAGACTTATGAAGATTGGGATTTACTTTCTTCAGATAATTTACTAGTAAAAGCAAAATCACTTATTTATTCATTCACTCAACAAATATTTATTATCTACTATGTGCCAGATACTATTTTAGATGCTAGAAATACATGAGTGGATAAAACAGATAAAAATTTTATATCTTTCAGGGTAGAGGTCAAAGGTCCAGATTTCAGGCTTTGTGAACTAGAGTCTGTGCCAGAATTGCTCAATGCTATCTTTTAGCTTGTTGTTGTTGTTTAGTGCCATTGAGTTGATTCTGACCCATAGCGACTCCTATAGGGTTTCCAAGGAGCAGCTGGTGAGCTTGAACCGCCAACCTTGTAGTTCAAACGGCTTTGCAGTCTGGCACATTAACCCACAGCGCCACACTAGGACTCCATCTTTTACCTTAAAAACACATACATCAAATGAAACTCATTACCATCAAGCTGAATTCTAACTCCAGTAACTCTAATCAGACAGAGGAGAACTATCCCATAGGGTTTCCAAATCTATAACTGTTTTTCCAAAGCAGACTGCTGCATCTTTCCCCTGAAAATCAGTTAGTGGATTTGAACCACTGATATTTTGTGTTGCAGTCAAGTGCTAAAGCACTGGGCTACCAGCGTTCTGAAAGTAGACAGAACTACATAAAAGAATGGGTGTGTCTGCTTTCTAATTTATTATGAACATTGATATTTGAGCTTCATTTAATGTTCACATGTCACAAAATACTATTGTTTTTCTTCAGCTATTTAAAAACACCCAAACAGGCTGGATTTGACCCATGGACTATAGTTTGGTAATCCTTGTTTTAGGAACTATAATTAAACCTTTTAACAATGAAAACTAAATCCTTAAGAGTAAAAACAATTAGAAAACATGTTTTGTAAAATCTTTGAAACATCTTCCTTTCTTATCCTTCCATTTGCTGTCATAAAAGTATAAAAACTACTTTGTTATAAAATGTTTTCAATTTGTTTATGGTACTGTGGAAAAACAGTAAACGTGATTGCTTTTACTATGTTGTTGATACCACAAGTTGATATAGTTCCAGTGAAGTACTTGATTAAAGTTGTAATTTTAAAATAATATTTTCATAATTTTCTTTCTTTTGCAAGTCTCATTTTGTATCAGCACTTACAGTGGTTTTTGTCAACTCAAAATCACTATCGTCAATCAAAATTGAGGACACTCCAGTGGATGATCCGTCATTAAAGATTCTTGTGGCCAATAATAGTGATACATTGAGACTCCTAAAAATGAGTAGTTGTCCTCATGTTTCATCTGATGGTAAGTTAAAAATTTTAAAGGCGGAAAGATTTTTGTATTACGGTAATAGTAACAATATTGTTAAGTGCCTTCGAATCAGTTCCGACTCATAGCTACACTGTATAGGGTTTCCAATTGCTTATTAAAACTTAGATACTTATGAATAGTTCATTTTTATTTTCAAAAGAAGTCTTAATCCGTACGTTAAATTTGAGGTGACATTAAAAAGTTAGTGGAAAAATGGAATTAAAAGGCAGTGGAATTTTTCTAGGAGCTTTTTGAAGCTCTCTTGTATTGTTCATTTGCTTTTCATGAAAGTATTTTAATTGAAAGTATTTTAATTATGTCTATCTTTTGGAGCTCTGGTAGCGTAGTGGTTACGAATCAGGCTGCAAACCTTAAGGTCAGCAGTTCAAAACTACCAGCTGTTCCATGGGAGAAAGATGAGGCTTTCTGCTCCCGTAAAGATTTACAGCCTCTGAAACCCTGTACAGCGTCGCTATGGGTTGGAACAGACTCCACGGCACATAACAACAACAATCTTTTGGTGATCAGTTCTTCAGATGTTGTTAGATGTCTATTTTAGCAAATAATGAATAATATCAAGGGCAAATTTATGATTTCTTATATTAGTATCTCTCAATATGGCTCTTTATTCTTAAGACTGTTTCCCACTTCCCTCAGGAATTCTTTGTGTTGCTGATCATTGTCAAGACCTTAGAGAACTGGCATTGAATTACTACATTCTGAGCGATGAACTCCTCCTAGCACTTTCAAGTGAGACTCATGTTAACCTTGAACATCTTCGAATTGACATTGTGAGTGAAAATCCTGGACAGATTCAGTTCCATTCTATTAAAAAGAAAAGTTGGGATGCACTTATTAAACATTCCCCCAGAGTTAATGTTGTTATGTACTTCTTTTTATATGAAGAGGAATTTGAGACCTTCTTCCAAGAAGAAACCCCTGTTACTCACCTTTATTTTGGTTGTTCAGTAAGCAAAGCAGTTCTAGGACGGATAGGTCTTAACTGCCCACGACTAATTGAGTTAGTGGTGTGTGCTCATGGTCGTCAGCCTCTTGATAATGAACTTATTTGTATTGCCAGCCACTGTAAAAACTTAACAGCCTTGGGCCTCAGTGAATGTGAAGTGAGCTGCAGTGCATTCATTGAATTTGTAAGACTCTGTGGGAGAAGGCTCACCCAGCTCTCTGTAATGGAAGAGGTTTTGATCCCTGATGATGATCATAACTTAGAAGAGATTCACACTGAAGTCTCCAAATGGCTGGGAAGAGTATGGTTCCCTGATGTAATGCCTCTCTGGTAATTTGCTACCAAAGATTCTTCACTTTTTTTTTGAGTAGCTTCTTCCTGTCTATGCAAATGTAAATTTTAAGATGCAGTGTTGTAATATTTTAGGTAAGTATTTTCTAGTTTGCAAACTCTCTTCATGAATTGTTGCAGAAACATTTGGGAAAAAAAAAAGAGAAATTTGAAAGGCCACAAATCTCCATGAATAGGGCACAGACGCTATGTGGATTACATGCTTGATAGACTACAAACTACAGATGGTTTCTAGGTAAGCCCTTGGCTCTCTCTGAAGACTTGTTTTCGCTTGCTAACTAAGCTTAAAATATTGAACTTTGAATACCATAAGTTATATCATTTATAATTTTGTATTAATTACTTCTATTTCATCTTGGTGTTAATGTATTTTATAAAATACATAGTATTAAAAATTAAGTGAAATCAGTGTTTTTTAACAAAGGGAGGGTAGCGGTTGATCTTGCAGTTCAGGAGCGGAGGACTCTGGTACCAACAAGGAAGAAGAGTGGAATGCGGGACCCTACCCAGAGAAGCAGAGACACCAGAGATGGAGGCAGAGACGATGACATGGATAGAGGAGTGGCTGGGGACACTAGACTCAAGGAGGGTGGGGAGCTGTGTGCTGGCGGCCAGGGGGCTGGCTTTCAGGGTATATACCCTTTGGTTGTTTGAATGGTTGTATGTTCCTGGGTGCTTCGGTATACATCCAAAAAACAACAACAACAGAGGGATTGGAAGCAAATGCGGTTGAATGATGATGCATGGGGGGATTGAAATCATTGCAATGAAATGAAATACAATAGGATGAATGTAACGCCGATGCTCCCCCATGTAAACTATCCCTCAATTCACAATAAAAACGTATTAAAAAAAAAAAAAACTTAGTGAAATCAAAATATAGAATACAGAGGCTTGCTTAGGAAACTTATAAAGTTATTAGCACTAAAGATTGTCTGATGTTCAATAAACAAACTCCTGATTTCCCATGGACATTGAATTGTACTGTGATTGTCAATTACTTAAGTGTGCTACTTAGGATAATGAATCTTCCTCCAATCCTGATGCCACATTTTTCTTCATATAACCCAGTTTCATGGATTATTTGCTCAGCATACAGGTTGAATAAGTATGGTGAAAGAATACAACCCTGTCGCACACCTTTCTTAATTTTAAACCATTCAGTGTTCTCTCGTTCTGTTTGAACAACTGCCTCTTGGTCCATATACAGATTCCTCATGAGCACAATAAAGTGTTCCGGAATACTCATACTTCACGATGTTGTCCATAGCTTGTATAGTCAATAAAGCACAGGTAAATATCTTTCTAATATTCTCTGTTTCAGCCAAGACCCATCGAACACGAGCAGTGATATCCCTCATTCCACGGACTCTTCTGAATCCAGCCTGAACCTCAGGAAGTTCTCTGTCAATGTCTACTTGTAGCCGTTTCTGTACTACTTTTAGTAAAACTTTACTCACATGGGATATCAAAGAGATTGTCCAATGATTTCCACATTCCATTGGGTCACCTCTCTTTGGAATGGGCACAAATATGGATCTCTTCCAATCAGT